TTTTAATCTCATACAATTGAAGTTAGCCTTCCTAACATTATATATTTTTGATGTTTAAACGCAGACTTAATGGCTTTGTTGCATTTTGAAAAAAATACAGCTTTGTAGATCCCACAACCCTGACCAGGAGAAGTGGCTAGAAGATGGATCAATGGGCAGATGGATGGATGAACAGACGGATGGACGGATGAGACTGCACTGCACACATAGGAAAATGTTTAATTTAGGGCCGTCACTATGGATTAGCCTATATCAATAATCCAGGATCAGGGATGCATAAATATTTAAAGTGTGATTAAAATAATAATAATAAAGTAATTACACATACAGACAAAATGCCTTGTAGCCAAACAACTAACAGCTTTTTCCTCTGCAAGAAGCACCGTACAAGTATCATATTATTATTATGACACTATTGATATTTTCTGAGTTTTTAATATTATTGCTATTATATCCATTTTCTGAAACCGCTTAATCCCAACTAGGGTCACGGAGGGGACCGAAGCCTATCCCAGGAACAATGGGCGTAGGCACGAACCAACCCTGGGCAGTTGGCAACACACCACAGGGTGCACAGACTCACACAACTACACGGCCAATTTAGACTCACCAATCAACCTATCCTGCACGCTTTTGGAAAGTGGGAGGAAACCGGAGCCCCCAGTGAAAACCCACGCGAACACGGGGAGAGCGTGCGAACTCCACACAGAAAGGGCCCAGGACCGAACACGGGGAGAGCGTGCGAACTCCACACAGAAAGGGCCCAGGACCGAACACGGGGAGAGCGTGCGAACTCCACACAGAAAAGACCCGGGACCGAACACGGGGAGAGCGTGCGAACTCCACACAGAAAGGGGCCGGGACCGAACCCAGGACTGCTAACCACTGCACCACCTGGGGTCAGAAAATACAGCAAATGGGTCATCAAACGTTGTTTTGGCCCGACTCCCAGCAATGGAGAGTTCAGCCCGTTCGGTTGAAGCAGTTAATCGGTAATTTGCAAGTCACCTGGAGCTCTGCATGGGGCTGCTGTCACAACTCTTGGCACCACTAAATTATTTGCCAGACTCTGCTGTTAAATAATTTCTATTTGGCTATACAGTTACTTTTCACCTCCAAATTAATCATAAAAACTTTTTCGCAATCAATTAGGCCTGTATTTATTAACTTTTTCCCAGTATCATTCAGCCCTAACAGACAACATGTTCACAAAAACAGGCCTTATTAATATTAATTAGTTATATGTACCGTATTATGTAAAATGATGTGGCTAAGCCATGGGACTAACTTCTGTTTTAGCAGTGAGTATTTTTCCATACAGAAATCGTACAAAGTCAATTAAGCAAAAAAACTTAAAGTCACAGTGATGACAAAGACAGGCTAAGGTACTGCAAGAGGTTAAATGGCACATAATTATGGCAAACCTCATGCTATTGGGTGACTCTGTCAAACCTGAATGTTTTCTTTTTATATGTATTTGCATTGCAGTTATTCTGTGGTGATATTTAAAGTTCTGCTTTGCAATACTGAGAAATGACCACATTTTCATTTACTTTTTTCATTTGCATCCTCATCCACTATGCCCTGTCCTCCTTCCACCATATCGCAGAGTAATCGAACAGGAAAGTAATCATGACAGCTCTAGTTTTCATTATCCTGAACGCTGCCCAGAATCATGTTCTTGTGTGATTCTGCAGTCAGCACGGTCTGATGCAAATAACAGACAAACTGGACATAGGGGACAGGGTGCATTATGGGAAAGCCGATGGCTGTAGAAGTCACTTCCCCTTCGCTATGACCATCAGCAGGATCCGCAGAGCACCTTGTGAATGACTAAACAAAATATGATGTGAATAAGAAACAAAATCTGTCAGTTGGTTGTCCATGACAAACCAACATTTCATTAACTATAGCCATCATGGACACCAGGTGATGCAGCGGTTAAGGACACTTAAAAATGAGGTGGCGTACTGCCATGTAAGAAAACCAGCTGGGCGAAATGAGCCTCTGCGGTCCATCGTTAGCATACCAAAGTGAACATGAGTGAGTGAGTCGGTCACCTGCAGCGAGGTGAGGATGCTGGACGAGATGATGATGAGAAGCCAGAAGTCCATGTGGAAGAACTGGCAGATCATGTAGGCCATGTAGGCTGGGAAGACCAGCAGGAAGAGGCAGAGGCTGACCGCCCGGAAGTGCTTCCAGAGGCTCCTGCAAGACAGCAGGCGAGCTCAGCAGGCAGAGGCTCCGACGCCACACAGGGAAGATCTGGCCCAGGCTAAGGATTCGTACCCAAGTTCACTCGACCGAGCCATAAAATCAGTCTGACACATTCCAGTAAGTTGCCAGGGGTCAGATCTAGTGATGCCCAAAGCGACGCTTCATGAGCCATGGCCAAAGCATGGCCAAAACTAACCAAGAGCACCATCTAGTGGGGTCAGAAAATACAGCACATGGTTCATGAAGTGTTGTTCTGGCCAGCACTAGTGTGACCCTGAAGTGGGCACATGCCCCTTACTTGTCCCGGGAGGCCCCCAGTGCCAGCACGATGGGGTCGGCGATCTCCAGCATGGACTGCAGGATGGATGCCACCACGATGAAGAGGATGATGCTGAGGAGGAAGGCCCGGTGGATGACCTGCAGCTCGATCAGGCCTGTCTGCACGGCCAGGATCAGCAGCGTGACGCCCTCGGTCATACCCCTGGCACGCAGAGTGGAGTCACACACACGCACAGGTACCTCGCCGGCACGGCGCTTCACCCACAGGCCGCTCACCGGTGCGTGGTGTTGTCATTTATGAATGCACGGTAACCCTGCAGGTAGAACTTGCAGAGGGTGAGGACGCCCAAGGCTGCAAAGGACACGGTGAAGACCAGGCCCAGGAGAGAGTAGGGAGTGCTGCAGCATTCTGCAATGCTGCCAGAGACACACATTCAGAGTCATAGAAGATGGAGATGCAGACAAGAAGACCACCACAACGGACACTAACTGACATCAGGCAAAGACACAGCCATTACGATAATGAGTAGCACAAAAAACCTTGCATATAAAAATGTCATATACTTTCCAATAAACAACAATCCAGAAATAAAAATTTACCAACAGGCATCAGTCCCCCACCAATCCCCCATTAAGAGTTAATCTGCCAGAAAACTACCAAGATTATACATACACAGGGACACCTATGGTTACAATTTAGATCAGGGGTCTCCAACTCGTGTCCTGGGGAGCTACTGTCCAACAGGTTTTCTATCCTACCTGGCTTCTGATGAGTCATACCTGTTCCTGGTATTTGCCTTAGACCTGGTGTGGCTCATCAGAAGCCAGGTAGGATAGAAAACCTGTTGGACAGTAGCTTTCCAGGAACGGAGTTGGAGAGCCCTGATTTAGATGGTTCAGATATTCCTGCACGAGGCAGCCCCACCTGGTGAGAAAGAGGAATAGCAGCCTCTCACGTGAGGTGGGCTGGTCGCGGGTGCTGAAGTATGTGCAGATCTGCAAGGTGAACAGCACCAGCCAGAAGCACATGAAGAGCACCGGCAGGACCAGCTGGTTCCAGAGGGACATCCCCAGTGCTAGAAGACCGTATACCTCCACCACCTGGATGGAGAGATGCATGAAGAGGGTGGAAAGTATACAAAAATGAGAGTAAGAGCAGAGTGCATGTGACTTACATGTCAAATGGCAGACCCTGCTGGTGACACGCACCCAGTCACACCTGAATGGAAATTGGTGAACATCTCATCGAAAAACAACATACGCTTTACACAGGAAGAAGCCGGCCACCTTCAGCTGAGGAGCGGAGGTCGCTGAATGCTACCAGCTAGCAGCAGGAACAGCAGGCTACTCGGATACGTACCTGTACTAGCTCACGATACACCGTCTTGGCCAGGTAGTAGGGAACCAATAAGTTGGAAGCTAAGAAGTAGAACACCTCCAGGCCTGTGAAGATCATGGCAAATTGATTGATGAAGACAATGGTCTCCAGCGGGACCAGGCACAGGCGAGCCACCAGGGGGAGCAGGTGAGCCGAGAAGAGCCAAATACGCTTGGTCTGCATGATACAGGAACACAGGGCGCAGACCACCAGCTGGCCTGTCACATGCACAGCAAAGACGTCACAGGCGTTCTTAATCAATGTCAGTCAAGTTAACCACTCTACCAGACACATCAAAGCTGACAAAGACATTCTCAATCAATGTCAGAGACAATAACTCAGTCCTTGTACACAAAACAGATACTGCAATCCTGTAAAAATCATACCATTTACTATAGAGAGACTCAAAGCATAAAATATATAAAGAGCGCGTCTATGGTGATGAGGAATGGGAGAGAGAATACAAGGGAGCATGGATAATTCTAAACTTGACATACATAGGATGATTGTACCAGTGACACACGAAGACAGGAGTAGACCCCTCGCCCTCCCCAGCATGTAATTTTACTTAATGGAGTCTTAATCCCTTAGCAAACCCATCAGTTTTAAGTGTCGCCTCCTTCAATAACCCGACTGAGGCCCAGTAGGGCGGAGAAGCAGGAAGCCAGCGGTCCACTGGTCCATGGGAGGAACCTGACCGGTGTCCTGCTGGCGGAACATGAACACCGGGAACTGGAGTGAGAGAGAATGATGCGGGCAGGCGGAGCGCTGGCGGGGGGCCACGCAAAGTCTGGGAGCGGCCAGTGCAGTCAGTGGATGTGACGCGGCGTGACCCCCAGGTACCCTCACCTGGGGAGGGCACACTGAAAAACATGGTATGGCCACTGAAACCCGGAGAGGACCTTCCAACGAGGAGGAGGCCACTGAAGCTGCAGGCGCCTCACCAACATGCCGCCATTATAAAAATAAATGTAATAAAAATGAAGTATCTCCCCATGGATGGATGGATGGATGGGTGGATGGATGAGACTGCGTTGTACACATAACAAAATATTTCATTATCCTGAATGCTGCCCAGAATGATGTTCTTGTGTCTGTCTGATTCTGGAGCCAGCACTGACTGACACAAATGACAGACAAACTGGACCTCTGGGCAGGGTGCATTATGGGATTGCTGAGGGCCATAGTCACTGCCCCTCCACTCTGATTTCACAGGCAGTGTCAGCATGACCCACAAAGTGCTCCCATCCAGAGCAGCGGCACCTTAATCGGCTGCCATGTGACCTTAACAGCACCCTGGGCTGGGTGACAGGACAGCAGAGAGGCTCAGTGGCCACAGATGCATAAATCCTGCGGCCATGTTTGGGAAGGGTGATGAGCAGAGATCGTGCCACTCGCAGTGACGTGGGAAGACCCCGCCCCCCAGCCCGTCTCAGCTTACACACAAGGGCTGTGATGAAGCGATGCATAGACAGAGGCTCCAGGTAGAGTGGCCCCTCGCAGCCAGAATCCAGCTCACTGCGGACATAATCCCTGCAAGGACAAGAAGACGGGTTTGCTGGGAGCCACTCCCCAAAGCAAGGCATGCGACACACCCCAAGACAGTATTCCTGCTGCTCAGCCAACGGTTGGCATCCCAAACAGGCACCTTGCCACGATTCCACGTTACTGAGGGAATTTGCCGTGAGGGACAGAAGCCAATAAAACGTCAGCTTGTTAATTTTTCGTGAGATACTAAACACTGCAGGACACTTACAACCTAGTCTGTGTGATTTATAAAGTAAAGTAAAGTAAAGCAGTGTCCGCGGGATCGTCTACGTCCCTCATCAGTGCGGCGCCTCATCCCATTGTCACGCTGATTAGCTCCTAATTTAGCGCAGAAATGAGACCCACGTTTCAGTTCTGCCCTCCGGTGAAGGGGCTAAATAAAGATGAAGCAGGAGGGCTGTTTCCCCCAGACCATCTGCCGTACCCCACCCGCTGCTCCCCCCACACTGGCACATCCCGGCAGATAAGTTAGGAGTCCCCCGTAATGGCTTTTACACACTTGAGAGATTTTAATTTGAGGTACTTTTGGCTGTGTGCTCAGTGACACTGGGGGGAGGGGGGGCTGGAGATAAAGGCACCTCTTAAATCGGGAGCTAAATGGCCACCTGCCGGGGAGGCAGCAGGGGGTCAGTCATCTCACAGGTATGTCTGCACCAAGTGGCAGGGTTTCGGGAAGAGTTGAAGTCTGGCTATCCGACATTTCTGTCAGGATCAATAAACTACCCATCCATCCATCCATCCATCCATCCATCCCCCAAGTCCCACCCCTATCCCGGTCCTCACCTGGAGATCTGGTGGCCGGCGAACAGGAGCAGAGCAGTGAGGATGTACAGGTAGAGCCGCACCAGGCGCTGCCGTGGCAGTGTGAGCAGAACCACACTAAGGATGTATCCTGCGTGACACAGGGGACGCAATGTCAGCGGCATCCAGCATGTGACGAAAGCTGCCATCTCAAACCACAGGCCTGGTTTTACTACCCCTGAGCACTATAAATAATGCATTGCTGTAAAAATGCGAAAAAAGCAAACAAATAATGAGACTGCCCATTTTATTCACACTGAACATTGTTCACCCATCCATCCATCACCATCCGCTTGTCTGGGGTTCGGGGTCGCGGGGGTAGCAACTTCAGGAGGGATACCCAGACCTCCCTCTCCCTAGCCACCTCTACTAGCTCCTCGGGGGGATACCGAGGCGTTTCCAGGCCAGCCGAGAGATATAATCCCTCCAGCGCATCCTGGGTCTGCCTCGGGGCCTCCTCCCAGGAGGACATGCACAGAAAACCTCTCCAGGTAGCCGCCCAGAAGGCATCGCACCAGGTGTCCAAACCACATCAACTGGCTCCTTTCGATGTGAAGAAGCAGTGGTTCTTTTTTGGACACGACAAACTGATTAGATGGCTGCAAAACTGCAGACGCCACGCCGATATGTCTGTCCAACTCTCCATCTCTTCTACCCTCACTCGTGAACGAAACTTCGAGATACTTGAACTCCTCCACTTGAGGCAGTACCTCCTCCCTGATCTGAAGAGGGCAACCCAACCGTTTCCGGCTGAGAACCATGGTCTCGAACTTGGAGGTGCTAATCCTCATCCCCGCCGCTTCGCACTTGGCTGCAAACTGCCCTAGAGCTTGCTGGAGGACCCCAGCAGATGAAGCCAACAGGACTATGTCATCCACAAAAAGCCTCAATGCAATCCTGAGGCCACCAAACTGGACACCCTCAACACTCTGGGCTGTGCCTAGAAATCCTGTCCATAAATATTATAAACAGGACCGGTGACAAAGGGTAGCCCTGGTGGAACCGAACACGCACTGGGAACACATCCGACTTATTACCAGCAATGCGGACTAAGCTTCTGCTCCGTTCATATAGGGATTGAATCGCCCGCAGTAGCGGGCCCCGAACTCCCGAAGCACCCCCCACAGAGCACCTTGGGGAACCCGTTGTAAGCCTTCTCCAAGTCCACAAAACACATGTAGACTGGATGAGTAAACTCCCAGGCTCCCTCCATTACCCTTGCAAGAGTTTAAAGCTGGTCCAGTGTCACGAAAACGCATTGTTCCTCCTGAATCGAATTTGACTATCGATCTCACCCTCCTCTCTAGTACCTTGGAATAGACAATCCCAGGAAGGCTGAGAAGTGTGATACCCCTGTAATTGGAACATACTCTCTGGTCCCTGTTCTTGAATAAGGGGACCACTACCCCGGTCTGCCAATCCAGCGGTACTGCCCCTGACGTCCACACACTGTTGAGACATGTGGACGCCCCACAACATCCATAGCCTTCAGGTACTCCGAACGAATCTCATCCACCCGTGGGAGCTCTTTAACCACCCTGGCAACCTCAGCCTCAGTAATGGACGAGTTCACCCCAGCTCCCTGTGGCCCCTTGCCTTCAGATGTCTCGAAGGCGGTGCACGTAGATGTATCTGAGGCAGGGTTGAAGAGGTATGCAAAGTATTCCTTCCACCTCCTGGTGATGTTCCCAGGTGAGGTCAACAGCACCCCTCCTCACTGTAAACAGTAGAAATCAGGAGCTGCTTCCCCCTCCTGATATTTCAGACAGTTTGCCAGAACCTTTTTGAGGCTAACTGAAAGTCACTTCCCATGGCCTCACCAAACTCCTCCCATGCCCGGGTTTTTGCTTCCGCAACCGCCCGAGCCACGTTCCGCCTGGCCTGCCAGTACCCGTCAGCTAATTCCAGAGACCCCCAGCCTAATAATTCCTGGTAGACCTCCTTCTTCAGCTTGACAGCCCACCTCACCTCTGGTGTCCACCATCGGGTACGGGGGTTACTGCCACTACTGGCACCGACCACCCTGCAGCCACAGCTCCGTACGGCCGCTTCCACAATAGAGGTCCGAAACAGTTTCTATTCAGACTCGATGTCCCCAACCTCCCCCGGTATGCAGCTGGAGTTCTGCCGGATGTGTGAGTTTAAGTTCTGGTGAGCAGGAGCCTCTGCCAGACGTTCCCAGCAGACCTTCACTGTGCACCCGAATGTCCAAGACAGAAGGCTGCAGATCAGTTGGTACAATTATAAAATCGATCATCAATCTCCGGACCCAGGCATGTTCGTACCATGTCCACAACATGGTGTTCGTTATGGACAAACCATGCATTGCACAGAAGTCCAACAACGGAACACTACTCGGTTTCAGATCTGGGAGTCCATTCCTCCCAATCACTCCACTCCAGGCCACACTGTTATTGCCCATGTGAGCGTTGAAGTCTCCCAGCAAAATGTTGGAATCTCCTCATGGCGCGCTAACTGGCACATCACTCAAGGAGTTTAAGAAGGCTGGGTACTCTGAACTGTCATTCAGCGCATAGGCGCAAATGACAGTCAGAGACCTTTCCCCGACCCAAAGGTGCAGGGAGACAGCCCTCGCATTCACTGGGGTAAACTCTGATGTTAATGCACTGAATTGTGGGGCCACCAGTAGCCCTACCCCAGCCTGGCATCGCTCACCCACCACAACTCCTGAAGAAAGGAGCATCCAGCTCCTCTCCAGGAGATTGGTTCCAGAGCCCAAGATATGTGTTGAGGTAGGCCTGACTATATCTAGCCGGTATCTCTCAGCCTCATGTACAAGCTCAGGTTCCTTTCCCACCAGAGAGGTGACATTTCATGCCCCGAAAGCCAGTTTTGTCAGCTGGGAATCGGTCTGCCAGGGCCTCCCTTGACCGCCACCCGATCCACAGAGCACCGAACCCCTGACATTCCCCTTGCGGGTGGTGGGCCCACTCGGGAATGGTCCTGTGTAACTCATTCGGGCTGGGCCCAACCGGGCCCCACTGGCCAAGGCCCGGCCACCAGGTGCGTGCCAACGGGCCCCTCCCCCAGGCCTGGCTTCAGGGTGGGGCCCTGGCGACCCTAGTCTGGGTGAGGGCAACGAAACCTTGCTGTAGAACTTTTTCATCAGGGGTGTTTTTGATTGCTTTTTGTCTGGCCCCTCATCTGGGACCTTTTTGCCTTGGGAGACCATACCAGGGACAATTGCCCCCGACAACATAGCCCCCAGGGTCACTGAGGCACGCAAATCCTTCCACCACGATAAGGTGGCAATCCAAGGAGAGGACTGAACATTGTAAGCAACCAAATTATGAAGGATCCAACAAAGAGGCTCTTCAAACTGGACCCACCATGGTCAAATAAGTCCCGGATGATGCATCAACACATAAAAGCTCCCCATCTCACTCTAATAAATGAATGCAATTCCAAGTATTAGTGCTTAACTGCAAAGTTTATTCTGCTGCTCACCTCCATTTTGGGTATCAGGAATCCAGTTTCTTCACTGGGGAGACTATGAATTAGCTATTAAAAGCTACAGTAATGCTGAGTCTTGCTGATGTAATGCTGTAATGCTGATGTCTGTGAGGGCATGGTATAGTATTAGTCACAGAGCAGTGCCATGGGGGGTTTGGTATGTCTGTGAGGGCATGGGACAGTCACAGCAGTGCCATGGGGGGATGGTATGTCTGTGAGGGCATGGGACAGTCACAGAGCAGTACCATGGGGGTTTGGTATGTCTGTGAGGGCATGGGACAGTCACAGAGCAGTGCCATGGGGGGTTTGTATGTCTGTGAGGGCTTGGGACAGTCACAGAGCAGTACCATGGGGGGATGGTATGTCTGTGAGGGCATGGGACAGTCACAGAGCAGTGCTACGGAGGGTTGGTATGTCTGCCCTCCATGCCCTTCACCCATTCCACCTCTAGCTCACACTAAACCAAGTGCAGCTCCACACTGTACCATGGTTCACCTGCAATGCTTAATCACAGAGCCACAGGTGGGGCAATAAACAGCCTGAACTGCACATCACAGCAACCTCCCCATTACCCCAGTGCCCTCAGATGGGTGGGGAGGGCATTTGTTATGTCAGGGAATGCTCGATCAGTCTTAAGGATCGACAATCTTTCAGGATTTTGATGGCATGATTTAAGCCACTATCAGACAAGAGGGGAGAGATGAGGGGGGCATTGTGACTGAGGGAGAGGGACACCTCACTGGGGAAGATGACCTTACTTGTTAGAGAAGAAAAGATGGTCTGTGCAGGTGGAGGGGTCATAAAGTGCCATACAGAAACCGGAAAACCTTGATCCATGGCTCTGAACTGACCGTTTGGGTCGATGCCGCTAATCGGCGACCTTGTTCAGCGACCAGAGCAGAGAGCGTTTTTGAATGAATCCGGTTCCCCTTTCAGCTTGAAGTTCCTGTCACAGTCAACAGGACTGACACAGTAATCAAATTCCTAGTGCGGTAAGACACCCCAGGTGAGGTACGACAGATCAGTCTGCTCTCAAAAGATGGCTCTCATCAGCTGCCCCAAGGGCAGACAAGCCCCCAAGGACAGAAGGGCCTCCTGAGTGCAGAGAAACCCATGCTGTTACTCGCCCAGAAACCGTGACCTCTGGTCAGCAAGCACCAGGTCAAACAGCGAAACTCTCATGCCGCAAGCGGGCAGAGATCCTTCCGGAAGGTTAGGCATTACACACGGACCTGACATTCCCATCCCGCTGACCCCGCCATTCCACAACATTCGACATCAGAACAGATAAATTTACCAATCGACCTGTTTGAGGGCAGGAAGCCCTGGGATTAAAGGGTCCATCAATCTGGCACAACAGCGTGCCCTAACTTCAATTTCATCGACCTGGTTTTGCGCAGTGATGAGCGCTTATCTTCAGTGTACATCGACCCACTCCCCGGCTGTGACAGAATACTTAACCCCTGGGCTGAAAAAAAATCTCTTGAATATTTATTTCAGCAGACAGTCACGTCCCTACTGCTGGTTCTATTCTCACCGTACACATTAAACTGTGCCTCTCTGAATGCCCTGTGTGGCCGATAACATGTCCGACTATTCATCTTCCTAAACACTTATTTAGTGGGGGGGGG